AATAGCATAGAAAAATAGAACATTCTTTTCTCTATCAGACTATATAAAAGAAAGTTTCTTTAACCTTTCTATAAGGGATAAAAATACCACTGCCACTACTTTTGGTATGCCCTAAGTATTATTCACCCAGAATTACGAGACGGTGCATAAGTAGGATCAGATGAAACTTCTGCGACAGACACCTCTCTCGAACTTCAACCGTAAAAAGCCAGTATTTCTGTCTGAATTTTATAAGATAAAATTTTTTTGTCGCATCTCATGTATATAGTCTGAAAAGTTTCATCTCGTCCAGTGAGATCCTATTGGATTCTCGTCTCACGATGACCTCTGTTAGTTACAGTACTCCGCAAAAGTAGCGACACCCCTGTAACTCAATAACCATGGTACATAGGGACTTCTAGCTATGGGACATAGCCAAGGGGGAAAAAGCGGACTCCTATGGACTCCTGGAATCCCATGGACTCCTGAAGTCCAGCAGTCAAGTGTTCTTTTTTGGGGATCACTTCCCAAAAAAGAGCACCCTGCTCTTGGACTCCTGGACTTCAGGAGTCCATGGGAGTCCAGGAGTCCATACGAGTCCAGGAGTCCATACGAGTCCATAGGAGTCCAGGAGTCCGCCTTTTCCCCCCTTGGACATAGCTCTTACCGAATGATGATCATTCACCAAGTCTCGGTCTCTGTTACTAGATGGTTCGTGAGATATAAGCGATTTATTTCTTTTCCGTAAAATATCAATAGTTCCTGACCTAAAAGAGATGAAAACTTTTCCTTAACATGTAGCCACGACTCTACTCTATCTTCAATTTGAATTTCATGAGTTGACTGTTAGTAGTCAGTGAAATACAGCTATTTTATGTGTGAGGTTAGTTTTGTTTTTGTTGAAAATTCGAAGTTCTTTGCGAAAAAACTCTACAACTCAGTCTAAGAGCATCATTTTGACTTCAAAAATTCGCACCAAAGACTCTACAGTGTCTGCTGATTATCTAGCCAAAGTATGAGGGCTAACTATTGTGTGGTTCTGGAAATTCATTGAGAACGAGAACCCACGATTGAAACAAACGTAGAAGAGCGAGGGTGAGGGACTAAGGGTCGCTCTTTATAGTATAGAATCTACATTTAATGTACATCATAATCATGACAAAACAATCATGAAAACCTATGGTTCCGAAAAACGTAGTTGAAACTTTTGTCAGACGGAACATCTGACTCAAAGAAAAAATTTTTAATAAATTTTTTTTCACAAACCAAATGTTAAGTATGCTATTCGGCCCAGTTTTGTCTGGTGATCTCAAATATGTTATTAGTTTTGCTTGAAAAATATAAGCGAAGTGAAAAGGGCGCTAAATAAATGAAATGGCGAAGGTCAGAGGTGAGTATTTAATCTTTCTGACAAAAGTTTCAACTACGTTTTTGGAACCATAAATTTCTATGATTGTTTTGCCATGATTATGATGTACATTAAATGTACGAAGTTTCAATATGTATCACTTTCTAAGTTAACAAACGGTTTAAAATATTTTGTTCATTAACATTGTACCGTCCGCCACAGTGCAAATCAAATAAACGTTCGAGTTCTGTTAAGTACCCTCTCTGTACCATAGCTTTCGATTAGGGTGGGAAGTCCTCCTCCTGAAATGTTGAGAGAAAGTCTCTCAAAGAAAAAAACAACTTTTTTTCATCAGCAGAAGGCTTTGATTTTTTGGTGCTTTTTGTTCACCAATTTTTTATTTTTGAAAAAATGCGACCTTCTCCCTGGAAGTTTCCCTACCTGAAAAAATATGAAACGAAAGCTATGCTTTGTACTGATAAATAATAAAGTCTCTTTACCCAAGGCTTTACGTTTGTTTTTCTTGTAAAAAATTGAAAATCAGAAAGATTTGGCTATACAGATCTATCGTAGCGGAAGGAAACGTTTTAATGCACTTTTTTCACGTAGAGATGAAGGAGCTGTCATTTTTTCTGAGTTATTACTGTCGAGGACAATGGTGTTGATAAAAACCGAAAAAAGAAAAATATTTCTTCTCAATTCATTGTGATTTTAAAAAATTCTAAGATGTAGCTATTTGATAGAGATTTTTTAAGCGCTACAAAATGGCTATTGTCGTTTTTTTATATTTACAAAAAATGAGAAGAATAGAATCGAAAAAATAGTTTGTTAACTTAGAAAGTGATACATATTGAAACGTCGCACTATCACCTTACTAACTGTTGATCGTCATTGGATGTAATGGTATGTTGAGCATAATTTTGTAAAGAATTACATGCGGAATATTTTAAGAAAAGAAGAGAGCTTAAACTATGAAAGATAAAAGAGTTATTCTTTTATCGTCCTTTCATTACATCTAAAATAGAAATTTGACAAATAATAATTTCTTTTGAATAAAATAGATAATTATCGAATTATGATAAGGGAATAATTCTTATACTATGTAGATAGTTTTAAAATTATTTCTAATTTAGGTTATATCGATTTTATTTGGAAACCATTGTATAAGAATTTATTTTTGAAAGAATGTTTTAATAATTCATTATGGTTGCGAATTGGTCAACGTTTTATATTAGGTACATCATCATCGAGTATTGATGGACCAATTCAGGCAATTGAGATTATTTACTATATCATTAAACATGGTAATAAGAACGTACTTGATCTGTTTATTAGCGATCGTCTATTGTACAATAAATCATTGGAAAACTATTTAATTGATATCTTAATATTTCATAAAAATCAAATACATATATCTAGAAAAATTATTGCCTATTTAACACTAAATAATCAACGTCGAGAAAAATGTTATATTCCATTATTTCAACGTTTACTTAATTTATGGTCACAATCAAGTTTTATTCGATTTTCATCATCTAGTCAACATTATTATATATGTCAGTGTATTTGTGTTTGTTTAGTTTATTATGAGCATAATGAAACAATATCGATTGATAATTTGATCGTGAACGTTCTAGATGGAATAAGAATACACTTAGAATCAACAATTGATTATATTAGAAAACGTGGACAAGTTATTGGTGAATTAATTATAAATCAATTGAAATTATTTGACGATAAAAGTAAACAATTAGAATTTAACTCATTTGACAATGATGATAACGAAGTAAAAGCATTAAGAGATTTAGCTACTAATAAAGAAATAGAGGAAAACAATGATCAATTATATTCAAGTGACGATGATATGAAGAAAGAAGAACAAATATCACTCAAGGGTAATTGAATTTTTTTTCAAAAATATATCATTCATTAAATCTTGTCCCTACATTCAGTACATATTTGTCAAAAATATTTAATGAGATATTGACTATCGTTCTTTTTGTTTTTCTATTAGAATCTTCATCTACCACCAGCAACAATCTAAGATTATCGACTGTTCCACTTGTCTCATCTAATTTAACTCGTGTCGTTCTTCATGAAAATGAATCAAAACAAAACTACGCATCGGATGATGATGATGATGATGAAGAATTTGAACAATATGATCTCTCCAATGATAAACCTGTCTCGGATATTAAATATCCCTCTTATATTCGTGCATGTATGAACGATCTTATTCAAACAGAAAATGTGGCACGTATAGAAGGTGCTTTGAATGTTCTACCATCATTGATTAAATCTTATACAGTTGAATGCGAAGAAATAGCTATTGAATTAACCCGTATTCTATTAAATTATAGTACTACGTTTAATATAGATAATTTTTCGACATTACAATTGTGTGCTCTCGAAACATTATGTACAACATATCCAATTCAAATTGGAAATTATTTATGTGAACAATTTTATGAACGAAATTATACGATTAGTCAACGTATGTTAATACTCAAAAGTATTCAGAACTCGGCAAAAAATTTATCGCAGCTAGAAAGTGTGCGAACAAAAATTGTGAATGAAATTGAATCGTTTGGTGATGATGATGATAATGATGATGATAATAATAACAAGGAAGCAGAATGGAAAACAATAGTTAATGAACGTATTCGATTGAAAACTAAACGAAAATTTCTTCATAAACAACGTGATCGTCAGATGAGAGAAAATCGATTTGGTGAAATTGTTGGCCACTATTTTTATCCATTACTAAGTAAATTTGATAAACAAACAACCTATTTACAATTAATTGATAACGATTATATTTTACTATGTGAATTACTAGCCACTCTGGGAAGATTATGCATAACAGCACAAAATACGTTAAAATTAAAACAAATGGTATTAGAATTAATTCAGGTATTAAATTCATTACAAAAACATGCTGATGCTGGTGTGAGACATGCTGTTTTATATTCGTATGCATGTTGTTTCGTATCGATTTCATCTATCATCACAACAAATGAACAGTTACAAGAAATTTTACTTGATTTAAAACAATGGCTTGATTTTGAGGCTACGCACGATACAAATACAGAATGTCAAAAACTAGCGAGAGTTGTTAGAAATGTTTTGTTGAATACATTGAAAGAAGCAGCTGAGAGTTGAACAGATTGTTTAAATAAAATCGTCTTTTACTCACAAAACTGAGCACAAGACAACTATTTATAATAATATCTAAAATGCTATGTTTTTGTTTTGTTCATAACATTATCTGCTGTCTGATGAATTTCTGCGGTTTTCAGAAAGGTTTTTATTTCTCTGAATTATGTGATTTCACGAAAGGACGCATTGAATCGTTCTTTTTTGGGAGAAAATGTTAGAATTCAGCAATCTTTACAACCTTAATTACAGATGAAAGGTGAATTAACTTACCTTGAATTTATAGAAATAGTTTTGAACACATGTGTAAATTATTTTCTGAGCGTAAACACGATATAAACTTATTCTCCTCTATATGTAAACGCGTTAACCTAAAAATGTGATGCGTAAACATACATGAGACATTTTTTCCGATCGTTTCAATTAGTGGAAGAAATATCTAACACGTGTATCCACTAGTATTTGCATAAATTTTACTTTTGCAGTTGCATCGATTTTTTCTATTTGTACTTTGAAACAGCGGACTTCATCGCGTCTCTCATTTACTGAAAGAATAATGATTGATTCATCATTTTTCTCTACCATTCTTTATCAATTGATAATACTCGAATACACAAGCCATTATAATGCTTTGTGTGTGTACGTATGTGTGTCGCAAGTTGTACACTCACGCTATGAACTTTTATTTAAGGAAAAATGAAAAAAAGAAAATAAATCAACTAAAATCGCTGACCTAAGTGTAGAGTCCTGCGGGACAAACGTTTCTGTTGCCCCGAGCCCGAACATAAAAGTTTTTGTCCCGTCCCGTAAGTCCGACCCCGTGAGTAAATAATGTTGTCCCGAACCCGCTTGTCCCGTTATTATAAAATTACGGTTTTGACTTGATAGTTTCATGTTAATTGCAGCTAATTTTAGAATTTTATTCTACAATACTTGATATTTCGATAATTCACAGTCATTATCAAAAGTCAAAATGTACACACAAAAATTTTGATTTTCACATTTTATAATTCTCACACGTTCAAGAACAGATAAAACCTGCGATGAAAAAGTTAAAGGATGCACAGTGGGCATCCAGGCGGACATATGGCAAAAAATCGAAAGTGCGCTTTCAAGATTCAGATAGTGCCATATATACTTTGATACACGGGCTATCTAATGGTGTAGAAATTTTTGTTCCAAGTGCTGAATTTTTGGAAAAAATGTATAAACAAAAAAGAGCTTGAATACTAGCGGCCTCTGAGAAAATCACTTTTTTCTAATAGACGAAGTCGTTTAAAGTTTAAAATGTTTACATATTCTGGATCTAGACAGTCCTGGCTATCGATCTGTAAAAATTCTCTTCTTAAACCTACGACATAGCAGAAAATGTTTTTTTCCAAGGTGGTTCTGTTTCCCAACCGGCACTTCATATGTAATTAGGTTTCTAAATTTTCCTAAATTGTTATCTCACTCACAATTAGTGAAAATGTTGCGCAATATGTCCTGCATCTGTCCTGATTTTTGAGGTAAAATGCGTTTCTCTCAGTCCAGGAACATTTTGTACAAGAAAATAATATGATATTTGGAATCAGCGTATAAAACTACATCGAATGACGTATAACTTGTTCATTATCTGAGTTAAAAGGTTTTCGGCAATAATTCAGGGCAAGGGTCCCCCTCAGAAAATTTCTGTCGAAAAAAATTTTTTTTCAAAATGTTTACTTTATTGATTTATATCAATATCTCAGTTGTAATAGAGCAACTTTGTGCAAAATAATCACATGTCCACCTGCTCTATAGAAAAATACCCACTGTGTGATGATGATCTAAAACAGACGGTACTGGCCAAGTCGGCCATTATCAGGCGATTGGACATGAAACACAGGAAGAACAATCTATAACTCAGGACGAATATATGAGAGAAAAATTTGTATCAATAGAAGGGAGACACCTTTTTTTTGGTATTTTAGAGTTGACCGGTGGATCATTTAAAAATTTTGAAAGAAAAGAAAGTGAGGTGGATAGTCCTAAAATGCCGAATGAAAAAATAAACTTCTATCTCTTTAATCATATAATTTTGATTCATCATCTCGTCTTAACTTATACTTTGTTTTCGTCGGCTCTATGTATCTAACATGTTGATCACTTAACCCAACTAAAAAAAGAAAAGGACGGGGCGATTATCTGATGAAATCGGCCCATCATGCCTGAATTTCATCGACTAATCAAAGGCTAGATATAGGATGAAGAGGTGAATATTTCTAGGTACTTAACAGACCGTACAACCACTCTCAGAAAAAAATTGGTCTAATCAAATTTGATTAAGTTTCTACTGCATCTGATATATATTATTTCTGTTGATAATATGATAAGGAAATGACATTTAAATTTAATTTCGTTTTTCTCGTGGAATTTTCTTTTATTTTATAAATTTATTTACAACTGTTAAACGTTTCGAAGTCTAAACCGACTCCTTCTTCAGTAGTACAAATGATATACAGAAAAGAACACACTATATACGAGAGCTAATTAAAAATGTGCGCGCAGGATGTTCAACAACTGCAATAGTGAGTGTATAAAAGCATGATATTTGGAAATTACACTTATTGGAATACGAGAAATAAATAATAAGTACAGTAAACGATGACAAGGTGATGATTGTGAAAGTTACAGTTGAATATGGATAAAGATAAGCAGCTAAAATATCATGTTGACTGAAATTGTAGTGAATAGATGGCATAACAGCTGTACAAAAATTTGAAAATTAAATAATAAGTACAATTGTCAGAGACATACATAAAATTATTTATTGGTTAAAATTTATATTTAGCTCGTGGTTGTGCTCTTAAACTATATTTTCCTTTTTGGTTTAATCCTAAAACTACTTATTGACTAACTATATTATGACTATTTATTTGACTATTATGGTGACTATTATTATTTGAATTTACTGTTTTTGTTCTAAAAAGACTACCTCATTTTTCCCCTATCCATTTACTGATACTAGCTTTCCACTGATTACATATCATCCATTTATTATTATATGATTTATTTGCTATTGAATAAACTGCTTCTAATACTTTTCCACGACGTTTATTTTCTTCTCTATCAAAAATTAAGCTTTTCTCAAATTGAATACTACAACTACTATTACTAACTAACAAATGTTGAACTATTTCTGACTCATTAACACGATGATATTTGACATTACTCATATGTTGTTTGTGACGTCTTTCAAAATCTTCCGTTTCTCCGACATAGATGCATCCACATTTGCCTGGTATACCATAAATAGTATTTTTAGCAAAAACTGTAGAATCTTTCTTCTTAGCACCAAGCTTATTGCGTGCAATTAATTTGGTTTTATTTAAAATAGAACCAATACTTTTAGAGTGTTACCCTAGTGAAAGTACTCATACGATGAGTACGCCTTTACTCATAATTCGTCCATGAGTACTCATATTGATACTACTAAAAATCTCTGAGTATTGTTACTCAGTGAGTACTCAGTTACTCATGCGAGTACTCAGGAAATATTCATTCATCATTTTATTTTGCTAAACTGAAACTGTATAGAGAATGTAGAATTTAATTTGCAAAAAATTATAGAAAATATTCAGTTTCCAAAAAATATTAAAAATAGAATCAAAAAAGAAGTTAATGATAATTTAAGTAGCATCGAAGAATCGCAAAAATGAGCATTTTCTCATATTTTCGATATAACTCCGTCATTTTGTATCTGTTCTGGTCGAGCAATATCTTATTCGAAAGACCATCAAAAATTAAACAAAGTCATGTGCTTTCTCTTTTTCTAAACTCAATACTGGTGTTGTAAGAGGTCCATCAAGTGAAGGATTATGATTTTCACATACAAATTTTTTCTACCAAAACCCACTTTTGGGCATCCAGACAGAATTTCCCTAGAAATACGAAGGTGATATCAATTTCTAATTTATCAATAATTAATAAATCTCCTTTCTTATGAGTGTTTATAAATATTTATTGTTATAGAGAAAACAACTTAGTTCTTTTCGTCTTTTCATACTTCGGTAGACTACAAAATAAA